TGTCACAACATGGCTAAAAGCTTCATGGAGTTGAGCCAAAATCATGCTAAAAAGACATGTTACAACATGGTGTATGTTAAGGCAAATCATGGGATTACAAGACAAGTATACAAAGCATGCATGGTATGTCTAAACCAAGTCAAAATAGTGCTATATCATGGAAAAACAAAGCCTAACATATACTGAAATGAAGCTAAAAGAAGCTAAGCAAACATGATATTAACATAAGCCATTTATGCAAGCATGAAAGATGATAAGGAGAGGGGATGACCCTCTCTTATTTGAGACCTTAAAACACCATCCCCACCACTGAAATCCTGGATTTCAGTGGTGGGAAGGCCAAAGCAAGGTGATCTCAAAGCTTAAAAAACAAAGCACAAGAATAAGGCCAAACAAGGCCTAAGAGGGGGTAATCAACCCCAAACACAAAAATGACCTTAAACAAAGGTCTTAAGCACTAAAAATTAGAACTTTTATCAGTTATAATCTAAGGTTAAAACAATAAGCAAGAAGGGTTAAAAGCTTAAGCAAGAATGGGGTATCTAAAACAAGGAACTCACCCTTGTAGAACCTCTTCAAGAACAAAGCTCCAGCAGGTTTCTCTGATCAAAAACAGCTCAAGAACCCTAATAACAACCCTCCAATACCTCAGTGACCCAAGGATGGTGTAATGCTAGGTGTTCAAGTGCAAAAGTAAGACAAAAACTCACTTTTGAAGTACAAAAATGGAGAGACAAGGCAAGATAGATACAAGGTTGTATCTATCTTTTCTAAGGCAAGTTTTTGAACCCCTGAGGAGGGAGGAGGAGCTCCCTCTTTATAGAAATTCAATAGCAAAGTTTCCAAAGGTAGCTAAACCAAGAGGCAAATCCCTTCATACATGTGTATGGAGGCGAGCAAATGTGCATGCCAACTAATCCAGCTGGCATAAAATATCTGCATAAAGCAGATGAACAGGGTTTGGCCAGCAAAAATGGCCGGTCGACCAACACAATGGCTGGCCGACCAAAAATAGTGCTGATCGGCCAATGCACTTGGCCGATGGAAAGAAAACAGGGCCGGTGGCCTCAAGCCTTGGCCGGTGGGTTGAGGGCATGGCAAACAAGCCTCCCTCTTCCATTAGAAGCAAAAACACAAGTGTTTGGTTCACAACCAAGCACAAAACAGACAAGTTGAGAGCTCTTGAGGCAAGGCGCGTAGCCGAGACCTCCAAGAACTCAAAACGAACACGAGCATGGATGATCATCGAGTGTTCAAACGATGACATCCAAGTCTTGAGGACGGTCAAAAATGGGGTGTCTACAGATACATGTCCCAAATGACTACCAATTCAACGTATTTAACATGTCTTGTACACAAACATGACGATTCATAGCAATTTGTTACATGCATGTACATATTGATCTCAATTTTTTCATTTCCAACTCAAATCTTGTTCTTAACTTCATATCCTTTTTTATTTCACTTAGCTATGAATTTAAACTCATGAATGTGAGTTCAATTACTCACCTAGAGAATCTTCCAAACTTTAGCTAGTTCTTGAGCTAATTCTCCAAATTCTTGAATTCTCTAGCAAAATCTTCAAGGATGCTCTCTCCCTCTCTCTAGAATCGGCTCACTCTCTCTCTAGAGTGTTTATTTTCAGATTTTGAGCTCATGTAATGAGCTTAAGCACGTTTAGCTTCTATATGTACACTTACCTAATCAACCTTAATTAGAACTAGTTAATTGTGCTTAATTTAATCAATTTAATATAATTAATTCGATCCAAATCAATTTTTAATTAAATTTCACCATAGGCTCTAAAAATTTGGCTAATTGCAATAACACAGTCAATTTCAGTTTCTGTGGCCTTTACAGTCTTCAATTTAAATTTTATAACAGAAAATCAAACATATTTTCCTACGGTGAACAGATAGAAATTCAAAAACACATATAATCATATAATTAGCATTCAAAATCATAAAAAGCTCATAATTATAAGTATAATTAAGATTCATTAGCATAACACAGAGTAGGGTTGCCACACACAGAGCCCTCTCTTTTCTTTTCGTTGCCTTCTAAGATTATAACCTAATCATTTATTATATAACCTAATTTCCTATTATACTTAAATACAACATATATAAATATACAATATAAGATCAATATATATATATATATATATATAGAACCCATTTTTATATATATATAAAATATATAAATATTCAGATTAATTATATATAATTGAATATCACATTAAATTAATTAAATATCACATTAAAATTTCATATATCCACACAATCAATAAAGCCAAAAAATAAAATAAATTAATAATAATAAATAAATAAATAAATAATGACTTACGAAAAAATTAGGGTCATTACAATATACACATCTCAAAAGAATCTCGTCCCGAGATTCGATAGGAGAGTACTAAGCAAAAAGCTCCCGGTGCATACGTCGAACTTTATCTTCTAATTCCCAAGTGATATCGTTCTCATCCTCACTCCGTTGTACTTTCACCAAGTTCACTTTGTGCGCCGCAACTGTTTTACATCCTGAATTAGAATAGTAATCGGTCGCACCACATATGTGAGATCATCACTAATATCTAATACTTCTGGTGATACTACTTGGGAAGGGTCTTGCACACACTTCTGCAATAAAGATACATGGAACACATTGTGAATCATAGCTAAAGCAGGTGGTGAGGCTAATTTGTAAGCCACATTACCAATCCTCTTAGTGATCTCATATGGTCTCACAAATCTAGGTGCCAACTTTCCCTTCTTTCCGAACTGCATCATACCCTTCATCGGTAAGACCTTCAAAAACACAAAATCTCCAGCATTAAACTCAACCCCCTTACGTTCTCTATCAGTGTAACTCTTCTAACGACTCTGTGCAGTCTTAATACGTTCCTGAATAATGTTCACCTTCTCTGTGGTCTCTTTCACCAACTCTGGCCCTAACAACGACGCATCTCCTACCTCCATCCAACAAGCAGGTGATCGACATGGCCTTCTATATAAAGCCTCAAAAAGTGCCATTCCGATACTAGAGTGATAGCTATTATTATAAGCAAACTCCATCAATGGCAAGTGTTCTTTCCAACTACCACCAAGATCGAGGACACAAACTCTCAACATATTTTCCAAGATTTGATTTACCGACTCAGTTTGCCCATCTGTCTGCGGATGATAAGCAGTGCTCAAGTCTAACCTAGCACCCAAAGCATGCTAAAAACTCTCCCAAAACTCTATTACAAACAACGGATCACGATGCAAAACTATAGAAACTGGTGCGCCATGAAGTCGCACCACCTCCCGAATATACAGCCTAGCTAGTTTATCTGTAGTTCGGTAAACACTGATAGGAATAAAATGAGCAAACTTGGTGAGTCAATCGACTATCACCCAAATAGATTCATTGCCTTGCTTGGACCGCGACAATCTATGTACTTCCATTTCCAAGTGGGGATCTCGAGAGGCTGCAAAAGCCTAAACGGTCGTTGGTGTTCTACCTTAACCTGTTGACACACATAACATCGAGAAACATACTCTTCTATGTCCTTCTTCATACCTTCCCACCAAAATGTCCTCTTCAGGTCATGATACATCTTAGTCCCACCAAGGTAAATGGTATATTGGGACCTATGGGCATCATCCATAATCTCTTTTCTCAATTCAACAATGTTAGCTACACACAACCTGCCCCTGAGTCGTAATCCCCCATCTGAGTCCATAGACCAATCAGTAGGACAATCATCGATCAAATCCACTACAAGGTCATCGAGCTTGCTGACGAGGAACTTATCTAAATACTGCATCTGACAAACTTTACCCAGTAACATCAGTTGCACAGTCAAACTACCAATGTATCCCCTCTCGACACTCTCTATTGGTTAAACATCATACATCGTAATTAACTCCAATGACTTCCATTCTTAAATCATCAAAGAAGCTATAATCCCATCTTGTCAACTAAGTGCATCTGCAACCACATTTCCTTTCTCCAGGTGGTACAAGATCTCGAAATCATAACTACTGACGAATTCAACCCACTTTTGTTGCTTCATGTTCAACTCTTTTTGAGAAAAAAGATATTTGAGGTTTTTGTGATCTGTGTACAACTCAAAGCGCTTCCCAAACAAGTAGTGTTGCCACACTTTCAACGTAAAAACAACTGCTGCTAACTCTAAGTCATAAGTAGGGTATCGTCTCTCGTTAGGTTTTAACTATCAAGAAGCGTAAGATACAATCTTTTGATGTTGCATCAACACACATCCCAACCTAGTTCCACTCTCATCAGTAAACACTACTAACTTTTCCCCTTCTATTGGTATAGTTAACACCGGAGCTGTAGTTAACCGCTACTTTGGAAAGCTTTCTCACAATCATTTGTCCATAAGAACTTCACATTCTTACGGATCAACTTGGTCATAGGTGCTGCAATAGTGGAAAACTTCTTTATAAATCTCCTGTAATAACTGGATAGTCCTAAAAAACTCCTCACCTCTGAAGGGTTCGTGGGCTTCTTTCATTCTTTGACCGCAACAACTTTCTCAAGATCTACTGTTATCCATTGATTAGATACAACATGTCTCAAAAATCGAACTTCTTTCTCCCAAAAGTGACACTTACTGAACTTAGCATTTAACTGTTGCTCCCTCAAAGTCTGGAACACGACTTTCAAGTGTTCTCTGTGTTCTTTTTCATTCTTAGAATACACCAGAATATAATCTACGAAGTTAATCACAAACTTATCTAGACACGATTGAAAAATTCTGTTCATCAAGTCCATGAAATAGGCAGAAGCATTTGTTAAACCAAAAGGCATTACAGGAAATTCGTACAACCCATACCGAGTCCGAAAAGTAGTAAGCAATATACTTTCCTCTAACACTCCCATCTAATGGTACGCGTTTTGAGATCAAACTGAGAGAACACTATTGCCCCCTTCAACTGATCAAACAAGTCATCAATTCTAGGTAGCGGATACTTGTTGTTGATAGTCACCTTGTTCAGTTCTCTATAATCTATGCATATGCGGAGACTACCATCTTTCTTAGAAACAAAGATCTCGGGTGCTCCCCATGGGGAGTTATTGGAACGTATCCCTGTCTGAAGCATCTCTTCTAGCTGCTTCTTCATCTCCACAAGCTCTTTAGGCGCCATTCTGTATGCCGCCTTAGAAATTGGTGCAGTTCTTAGCATTAAGTCAATGCGAAATTCAACTACCCATCGAGGTAGAGGTCTAGGTATATCCTAAAATACATCCTCAAACTCGCGTATTACATCTACCTCACTAATATGCTGCTTAGGGATTTCTACCGAGCATAGAAAACTTGTCATTACCGACTCTTCTCCATCGCTAGAAGTGTAGGTAAGCCATGGCATACCGGGAATATCTATATTTATAATCCTTTCAGCACAATCTAGAGTCACAAAGTGTTTTCGTAGCCAATCTATACCCAAAATAATTACAAACCCCTCAAACCCTAAAACAATTAGATCCGCGTACAAGACTTTGCCCGCAAAGTTAATCTCAAAATCTTTACACATCTCAAAAAGAGTAACTGCTCCTCCTAAACGGGTCTCAACAAGAATAGGTCTAGACAAGGAGGTAGTTACAAGATGTTCTCTTTCTACAAACTATCTAGATCTGAAAGAATGAGAGGCACCAATATCAAAAAGTACTCTAATGGGTTCTTGAAAAAGATTAAAGATACCATCTAGCCAGCACCTTCAAGTTAAACACACAAAAAGAATTCGTTCATAAACACTTAGAAAAAAATTCAACCACCAAACTAAACTGGCTAACCCATGTTTCCACAATATAAGGATCACCTAAACTTTCACAAGTCTAGGGTAACCTAGAGCTCTGATACCAAATTGTCACACCTCAAAATTTGGATAATTAAAGATTCAATTAGAGCTAAACACCAATCAATATTCCATTATCCAAATCTTAGGGGTGAAACAAAATCTAAACGTTCTCGTCTCCATAAGGTTTAAGTAAATATCCATGCTCAAAAGATTATAAGGGATAAAAAAAACTAACAAAACGCCAACCAAATCATTCACCATAATTTCATAACTATCTAATACCTCCAACATTAAAGTAACAATAAATAGTCAAAACAACTTAAATAATGTAAAGTCGAAAAATAACTCACAATGTCAAACTGTCAAAATACTAAGGTCATAAAAAAAATAATAAATACATAAACTAATATCAATCCCTAAACTCTAAATTTCAGAAAACAAAAGAAGTCCAAATGACATGTCCAACAACTATAGTAATTTCTTATCACCATCGTAGTCCCAACTAATCCTACAAAGGAAGCTTGGCTGCTCTCAAATAGAACGCAACCGAGTTGCCGAGAGACAAAACGGGTCAGTATACAGGTATACTGGTATGAGTACAAGATTTAACACCCATATGTCCACCAGACACAAACAAAAGTACATTTAATTCTTGTTATGGGACAAGACAAGTAGTTTCACCCCCACTGAAACGAAGGGGTAGTTTCTCGAGATACGTTGGCATTTAGTTTCTTGCCTGTACATAACTAAATATAAATTGAGTATAAAATAAACAAAATAAAATAAAAATATGATGGGACAATCCTGTATAAAAAATTAGTAAGACCTACAATTCTACAAAAAAAAAAATAACGTTAGTATAATTTAATCATAAGTAACTTGCTGAAGAATTATAAAAATGTACCGTTCCATGCTTAAATCATTCGAATTGACCGAAACTCAAAGAACAAAAGTTGTACAAAATCAAATTTCCTAAAAGGCACCACAAAAAAATTTAGTAGAAATTGAACAGGTTGAGAGAAAAACTTGATAGAAGGACCTAGACGGAATTCAACCGAAAAATCTGAAGTTGAAAACGAAAAGAAACTGTCCTAAGATTATTTTTTTAGGAAAAGTTCAAAACATGAAAAGTGTTCAGAACAATATTTTACTTTTGTTTGCGCAAAACCAATAAAAATGAGGTCGTTTCGTGGGTTAAAACATCATCTAAACTCTGCATTGCTAAAATGAACAAAAACTGTTGTAACTAAGATCATCCGATTACAAGTTCTAATCGATTTTTTTAGCAAAAAGTTAAAACACAAAAGTTGTCCAGAATTACGTATACATACCTCTGTCTAAATTTCATAATTTATCAATGTCGTTTACTATTTTTCAAGATGTACAAATCAATACAATTCACACTATACTAATAAACTCATATTTAATTATTTGTACCTTAACTCCACCACTTCAGCCCTTCACTTCCGGTCTACACATATATCCTATGTGCCTCCCGTATACCTAACACCGCTCCGAAGTCAAACTTGCACGGGGATATCGTCCCGAGTTTGACCCATACTCCTCGGATGGTTAGCATATACATACTTGTGTAAATCAAAACACTTATCTACTCCTGAGGACGAGGAAACAATATGTATACACAATCTCTCATCTACTTATGAGAACAAACATAACAATGCCAAATAATTTAGAAAATAATTATATAAATTAAATTCTGAATTAAATGTTTATAGAAATTAAAATCGAGGCTTGTGTTGGACACAATCTCCTTAAAGTAGATTTCGCCCTCAGTCTGGTGCTTCGAGTTTTAACGGCATCTACTTTCCAGGATGCAACGACTAACACTTGAATTTGCATCACTACAAATCAAGTCTAGCGAACCAAATTATGTTGTAACTCTTTTTTTCCCTTTCTTTTCCTAAAAAAAAATGCAAAACAGATACAAGAGCCCAAAAGGACGAACAAAAGAAGAAAGGGAAGAAGTTTGGAAAAAAATTTGATGCCAAGAATTGTTGGACTGCAGGCTTTATATAGGAGAGCAAATGACTTTTCCGAACAAGTAGAAAACATGTTCGGACAGGTTGAATAGGTACAAATATGTTTGAGTACATACAAATTTGAATTCAACAAGTATGAACTTGTTTTGAACCCTTTGAACCTGTTCGGGTGGGTCTGAACTCGTTAGGGATTTGTTTGTGTGAAGGAAAAATTCTAGACCAATTTATTTTGAATTTTGAAACCAAAATTAAAAATAAATAAATTAATTTAAAAGTTTTTGGCCAAAAAAGATAAGTATTGAGCCAGACAAGCCCAACCCAACCTCACACCACGCGCCCAAGCCTAAGCCCAGGCCCAGCCTGCCCGACTGATCGGACAAATGGCGGTGGCGGCAGCAGCACGCGCATGTGGTTTTTATTTTCGGTCCAATGGGTCTAACCCACTTTACCCATAATCTCACCCTTCCATAAACTTGGGTACTCCTTGGGCCCTCCTTGGGCCTATCCCAAGTATCCCAAACTAGTCTATATAAACCCAAATAAATCCTTAAGCTTTTCCAATGTGGAACAAAGACATTTCACAAATGTGTAGGAAACCCACCTAAATCCTCTTCCATGAACCCGAAAATGCACGTTGAATTCTCATTCATCCGGAAAATGGTTTTGAGCAACAAAATTCACGGTTTTATTCACTACGCGGCATTAAACATGAACCTAATGAAAAACATTAAAAATTTCGCTTGGGTCCCACCTTAATTAATGCTTAAAGTTAGCAAAAAATAAGATTTTTCAAAAGCTTCCAAAGCCATTTTCCAACACGCCTTTTACGCAGAAATTGATGGGAATTGAAACGACTTCGATGCCATTGATAAAGGCGTATGAGCTGGGAGATGGGTTGAATGTTATGTCGAGCTTTTGGGTGTCTCTGACATTGAGAATGAACTCCTTGGCGAGAGAGGATTTTTGGGAAACCAAAGCAAAGACGGCGAGGAAGGCACTGAAGTCGGTTAGGAGGGTGTAGTTTGTGGCGGTGACAGAGAAGTAAGATTTTGATCTGTCAAGATTTGAGTAGGTGGTTGGGTAAAAGTAGAGGCAGATGAATTTGGGGTCGGAGGAGACGGGGAAAGTGTAGGTGAATTTGGAGGTGAAGATGCAGGTGGTGAGGAAAGGGATGCCGGGGACAGAAGAGTCTTGTTCGGTGGCCGTAAATGGTGAGGAGGTGGTGCCAATGTTGGATGGTGAGAATTTTGAGGTGGACCATCCCAGCTCCGACCGTCTTGTGAGGTAGCGTTGGATGATGAGCCATAGTTGAGGAGGAAGTAATCTGTGGGTGTGTAAGGCGGTGTTGTGGCCGCGGTGGAGGAGAGGAGGTAGAGTAAGGAATAGAGGTAGAGAGCAATGGTGAGCATGCTGGGGGTGTTGAAGATTAAAGTGTCAAGTCCAAACTAGAAGCTTGGACTTGACACTTGTAATTGATTTAGAGAGAGTGCTTGGATTGCTTAATGGTGGTCAAAACTAGCGCTTCATGAGGGGGACCTTTTAGGTCATGTAATAGATATTTTCAAGCCAATCCAATTTCTTTTTGGCTTTCATATCCGAAATTTCTTGGAACTGTTAGCTTTGAGAATCGAATCTAGGGTTTTCATTTTCTGTGATCAACTGTATGTTTTAATCATGTGTTCTTGGAATTATTACGAAACCAATGTCTAGTTAATCTACATCAAAAAAATCAACCATGATAGTTTGCCAAACTGTTTTTTGCTCCGGTTTAGATGAAGCTTGAAGGGATGCCTATAATAATATGTAAAGTAAATTCACTTTTGCTGACAAATAACTCACTTATTGGGAATAAATATCAAATGCAACATAACAAATGGAAAGCCACAAACAAATATCAGATGGACACCATTTAATTCTGGTTAACCCAACCATGAACCTCTCACTATTGTAATGTGAGATTTTTATTAGTTTGAGATACTCATTGTAAAGACTTTGCTTCAATAACATCCTAAATTTCTGCCAAATTTAATGATCAAGTTTATCAATCATTTGATCAGTTTGTTAGAGAAATTAACATGTTGATTATATTGTGGAATATACTCATGGTTTTGTATCAACCAAGTTTGGGAAGAGGGATGGAGGTTAAAATGGTTAATAAAGACAAAATAAGTTAAAATAACTAATAAGACAAATTGTCATATTTAATCATGATCATTCCACTTTTTCTTTCGCAATCATCAAATCAACTTTTAAAAAAAAGAAGAAAGACAATTATCATCTCAAACACAACTTTTTTAGTCAAACTAAAATAATCAAAAAAAAAAAAACTAAAATAGCCAAATTTCCAAA